TTATTATTTTATTTTATTAAATGTTTAATATTTAAATTGATTTGTTTTTTTTTAATATTTAATACAAAGTGTTTGTTAATATTTTAAATTATTGGCAGGTGTCAACCTAATTTTTACAAAAATTTGACATAGGTTTTCAAATTTAATATTTAATTGTTCTATTATTTTATTTTATAAAATATTTAAATTGATTTTTTTTAAATATTTAATACAAAATGCTTATTAATATTTTAACCCTTTCCACTCGCTAATTAAGAACTTGTATGAATTTTGCCGCCGGAGGCATTCGAGTCGAAAGGGTTAAATTAGTGACAACTTATTTTTTTCAAAATTTTGACATAAATTTTTAAATTTAATATTTAATTATTTTATTATTTTATTTTATTAAATAATTAATTTGATTTTTTAAATATTTAATACAAAATGCTTATTAATATTTTAACCCTTTGCACTCGCTAATTACGAATTTGTATGAATTTTGCGGCATCCAAATCGAAAGGGTTAAATTAGTGACAGGTCTCTACTTAATTTTTACAAAAGTTTAACATTACGTTTTCAAATTTAATATTTATTTTTTATTTTTTTATTTAATATTTAAATTGATTTGTTTTTTTTTAATATTTAATTCAAAGTGCTTGTTTATGATTATTTAAATTATTGACCGGCGTCAAATTTACTTTTGAAAATTGAATTATTAATTTTTTTAAATTTATGTTAAAATATAAATATTTGTTCTATTAACTTAATTTACTTAAAAATATATGATTAGGATAATAATACACACATTCTTTTATTAATCTAATTAATTTAAATTTCGTTTTATTTAAAACTTAATGTCATTTGACAGGTGTCAAATTTGAAAATTAATTAATTAATTAAATTTTTAAAGTTATTTGATAAAATATAAATATTTGTTTTATTAAAGCCCGATGCACACAACAGAATTTCTGTCAAATTTTCTGGTAAGGCGAGCAAGAATTTTGCGCCAGATTTTCACTTATTTTATGATTAATAATAATTTTGTGCATTTTCAAATAGATTATTATGGTATACTGTGAATTTCACAATTCATATTTTTTAAGCCTAAAATGCACTAATGCTTATAAGTGTACAAACAGAGCATTGTATGAAATGTAAACAATAAATGCATAAATGTCGTATCCGATTAAGATGAATTTATAAGATGATTTAATCTCATATTCCTAAGAATTAAATGTAGTAATTATAATAAAAAGATAATAGAATGCTGCAGTTTAACATAACAGTTATTGATTTTTAAAATAAGTATCATTATCGGATAATTAATGCTGTTATAAAAATATTAAAAAGGTTATGAAAAGTTTAGTATAAGTTTTATGTAAATTTAATATTTTTAATTTCAAAAATCTTGAAATTCAAAAAAATATTAAAATTTAGATTTGTTCGCAAATTTTAATTTTAATTCTGAGTATTTTTGCAAATTTTGAAGTTTTTGAAATAAAACGATTTGAATTTTTTTTAATTTTGAAATTTTTTAATTTTTGAGATAGAATTACAAAAATATATCGGGCAAGATCGTAAATTATGATTTGCCATATCGTTGAACTGTCCGCCATGCACTATCAGGAAATCTGGCGTCTTGTGCACTATTTATTTTTTGTCACTGTTGACAGTTACATTTGAAATTTGAAGTAAATTTTTATATTCTGATTATGAAAAGTAAATAACTGCTTTATTAAATTAAAATAATTATAAAAATGTTAATATATCCAGTTGATATTTAGTAATTGGTATTTTTAATAATTTAACTTTATTAAAAATATATAGGTATAAAATGTGTCGTCACGATTAAGGGGGGCGATACATGTAATCGCCTTAATTTTTACCATTTTTGAGGACTTTTTAAACTGGGAAGGAATAACTGAATCTTTTTGAATTTTTTTATGGTTATTTATTATATATTAAAATACACAAAAACATTTTTTTTTTTTTTTTTTTTTAAATGGCTGCCGTAAAAATAGATCTGCCAAGACCCTCTCGGAAAACGCCATCAATCTGCGGGCGTTCTCACTTTTCGTACGGTGATCTGAATTCAAAAAATTAGTTTGTACGTATTCATAAAACATATATCTTCTAGTTAAACCAAAAAAAATTAAAAAAGTCACAAAATCGTAAATTGGCAGACCTCAGAAAAAAAAGTTCGATTTTCACCATTTTTTCACTGTTTTTTTTGGTAAAAAGTTAATTTTTGAAATTTTTTTTGGAATGTTTGAGGTTAACTAGAAGCTATTACTGTAAAGTAGATGTGTGCAAAATTTCATTGGAATCGGTTGAGAACTTTTTGAGTTATCACGCCCGCAGTATTCAAAAATGTCGTTTTGAGAAAAACGCGTTTAAAGTTTTGACACAGAAACAGATAAGAGTACAATTGCACTCGAGCGTCGAGTTGAGCGTGGCACTTAAATGAGTTTTAAGGTATAAATAATGATAATTTTGTTTTGAATTTTGCAGGCATATTTTTGAGATGTTATTGTAACGATTTATGAAAAAAAAAAACATCGTTTTTTTTTTTCTTGTTACATGTATCGCCCCCCTTAAGTTCGAAATTTTGAATATTTTTTTTACGAAATTTGGACAGATTTCTAAATTTATACCACAAAATTTATATTCAAAGTACAATATTTAAACTCACTATTTTAAAACTTATTCAACACCAGAAGGAAATTCTTGTTCACCTTACCAGAAAACTTGTCAGAAATTCTGTTACAAGAAATACTGGCACCGGCCTTAATCACATTTTGTCGTAATCAAAAATTTAAATAATTTTTTTTACAAATTTTGGACAGATTTCTAAATTTATAGTACAAAATTTATGATTCAAAGTACAATATTTAAACTCACTATTTTAAAATTTATTCAACACGAAAAGGAAATTCTTGCACCTTACCAGAAAACTTGTTGCACCTTACCAGAATTTCTGTTACAAGAAATACTGGCACCGGGTTTTAATCAAATTTTGTATGCACGGAGTTGACCGTTATCAAACTTATATTTAAAGTTTTAACAATTATGGACAAATTAATAACTTTTAATCATTTAAAACAATACAAAATAGTCTATAGTGTTAATAAATCAAAAATAAATAAATAAATAGTTAGTAGTTTTGCTGATTTATTCAAAGTTTTCTTAAAATATTTATGCAAAGTGAGACGTCGCATAACGAGTTTTGAATTAGCTTTTTACCAAATTTTATCAGATTTCTAAATTTATTGTTTATAAAAATTATACAATATTTACTTATTATTTATACTACTAATTAGTATTTATTATATATAATACTAAGTATACTAATTGTTAAACACGTAAAGTTTTTTTTAAATATTTAATATAAATAATATATAAATAATAAATCATAATAATATTAAAATCTAAAATAGTAAATTCTATCTAAAAATATTTATTTAATTAATTGTTTATAATATAAATAATTAATTAGCAATATTTTTAATCTTTTTTGTGTTTATTTGTTTGTGATTTAATTCAAGTGGACATTTAAGTGGTGATTTTAAAAAATAAAAATGGATCAAGATCAAGAAAAACAAGAAATTAAAGAAGAGACTTCAAAATTTTCCAAATTTTGTGAAAAACGAGGAATTAATTCGAAATTGCTCATGCTGAAGGCTTCCTTGTTCGTCATGTATGGAGGTAGAATATTTATTAATATTAATTGTTTATATATATATATATATAAAAATATTTTATATATCTTATATATAAAATTTTTTTGTGCGGGTGTATGATTTGATACTTCTCCTAAACGGTTATTCGGATTTTGATAAATCTTTTTAGAGTTTGTCAAAGGAATTTTTTAATGTTTAATGAAACTATAGTAATATTGTAAAAATAAATGGCAAAAATTACAAAAAAAACACTTCATTGTTTGATATTGAAAACATTTGAACTGTCATCAGCTGGAAATGTCAATTCACTTGAAATTTGAATTTAGGTAACATTATGAGCCTAGATGATATAAGAATGTAATATACAAGAAAATTAAAGATATATATTATAGATAGGAAATAAATTAAGTAATGTTTACATTATCATTGCGGAAGAGCAGCTGAGATGTACCAGAAATTAAAATAATATAACATACAGTCAACAGTATATGTTGGCAGATAAATTATGTAATTCAGTTTAACAAATAACGCAATAAGTCCAAAATTGCATATACATTATTTTTTTAAACTTATACATGTCGCATTTTGGTTTACTTTACTAAATTATTAAACAATACAAAAAAATTTCTACTTATTAAAAAAATGACTTAGAACATTGTTTCATGCAAGAAAAATTAATTTGTTTGGCATTGGATATGGAATATTTATCAAGTTGATCTGAGATTGAATAGTGCACATATGAACTAGATTTTACAAATTAATTCATCTAAGATTTGAACATAAACAATAATGTTTATTAAATTATTAGTAAGAAAAAAGTAAAAACATTTAATATTCTTTGGATATTTAATTACGGTACGGGAAGTTGCAGAAATTTACCTTAAGGCACGATGCTATACACCACTAGTTAATTATTCAATAATTTTATATTCAAATAAAAACTAGGTGTGAAAATTAAGAAAGTAACAATACAATACTTAGTTATAATAGATTTATTCCATCCAAACACAAATAGTCCCAAGTCAGTCTAATAAAAATAAATCATTTAATACAGAGTAGAAATTAATTCTATTTAATAAATATATTTATAATACTAATATTTGTATAGAAGTAATGAGATTTATAAATATTCACATTTCACATACAGAGTTAGTCTGTTTCATCAATAACTTTGAATGTTTTTTCTTAGATGATCTGATCGTTTGATCGCCTTATTGCATATTTTGCATTTGTGACTACGAATAGTCATGTGTCTAATCACCTGATTGCATATTTCGCATGTGTCTCCCCAAAAGGCTCCCCAAAAGACTTATATTGAAGTTTGCATTTATGAGAGCAAATTCAACTTTGAATGCACACGTGATTATCCAGTTGGTGTATATGTGTGAATATCTGGTTGCACAATTCACATTTGTGTGAACTGCTGTGACTGAGCATATGTTTTGTCAAATGGCATTCTTTCATAAAAGACTTGTAGCATATCTTGCATTCGTGTGAGCGCACTCCACTGTGACTGAGCATGTGATTCGTCAAAACATCCAAATCTAGGAATCGTTTACTGCATATTTCACATTTTAAGGAAAGTTCACCCGCGTGGATGAGCATGTGCTTTTTCAAACTGGATCTTTGCGTGAAGGTGCTAGAGCATGTTTCGCATTTGAAACGACGCTCTTTGGTGTGAGTGAGCATGTGTCTTTTTAAATTGCTTCGTTGATTGAATGTGTAGGTGCATAAGTCGCATTTAAAAGGGCGTTCTCCTGTATGAACAAGCATGTGTATCGCTAACATGGATGGTTTCTTGAATGTCTTGAGACATAAATCACATTTAGCGGGGCCCTTTCCGTTTTGATTGACCATATGTTCAATCATATGCTCTTTTAAAGTGACTTCTTCTGCAAAAGATCTGTTACAGATATCACATTTGTAAGGGGGTATCTCCTGTTCGACCTCTTCAATTGTCACTTCGGGGCTTATAAATCTTTCTAAACAAGTCTCATCATCAGAACACGTTTCAGGTTTAATAACACCATCAAATTCATCCTTTATTTCAACATCAATCTCTTCTACTAAATATTCTGGTGGTTCTGTTTTGATTGTCTGAGCATTCAGAGGCATAATTGCTTCTTCTGACATTTTTAGATATTTTCACTGCATTCAGTATTGACAAAAAAATATATAATAATCTATTTTTTTAAAAAAAAATCTAATAAATAAATAATAAACTTATTTATATTACATTTGTTATTGGAAATGAAAAACTTTGACAGTTTGACAGTTCAAGATGGAATGTAAGCGTGGAATGTTGTAGACAATATAATAGTTATGGATAACGTTTTAAGAGAGGCGACAAAATAGCGTTTTTAATAAATTTGGATTAAAGATATTTTTCCTTATTATTTATTTTAAAAGGTTTTTATTTATACTTATTTATAATCATTTATTATGCGTATGGTCGATTTTATTCATTTTATGTTATGAATAAAGTGCGAATCTTTGATCATGTAAGTGCATATGGATCGATGAAATCATTTGATAACGAAAAAGCGCACAAGTGAAATATGCATAGATAACTAGTGCTGCATGGCATCGTGCTTTAAGGCAAATTGCTGGATAAATTAACTTTTCTAAATCAAAAATTACTTTTTTTAAAAAGATTTACATTTTTGAGAAAATTTTACTTCGGAAAAATTCGATTTTTGAGAAGCTATAAACTTTTAACAAAAATTTACTTTTTTAGAAAAAAAAGATTTTTTGAAATAAATGTTTTCTTTATTTTAAACATTTTGGAAATTTTGAACTTTTTTCAAAGCAATCGTACTGCATTAACTGCATAGAGACGAAATATCGAAGCGCGCAAGCGCCGCGTCGCCGTCGAACATGATAAACATTGGTACGGAGCCGATAGGAATGTAAACAAAATTATACTTATTGTTAAAATCTCTATAAATATCTGATAATTTGATGTGCATTTGTCTAATGATCATTTTTGATCGCCAAATGGCATTTTTTTACTTTTTTTTACTAGATCTCCGAAACCGCTGGGCCTGCCCACATCAAAATTTAATCAGTTTTTCATCTTGTCAATACAAGTACAATGTTTTTTGAATTATTAAAATCGCACGCTCCTTTCTCTTAAAAACTAAGTAGCCGTTTGTGGCACTCTTTGCCCCGTATCTTTGAAACAGCTAGACATGCCTATGCCAAAAACTAATCATTTAAATAAATAAATAAATAAACTAATAATTTAAATCGGTTGAACCGTGTTCCCGAAAACGTCGACGAAAATTTGTATTCGAACACAAATACACACACATACATCCATTTTTTCCAAGGTATGTCAAAATGTTCAGAAATTTCATTTTCGATTTCTTTGCGATTTCTTTGCGATTACTATAATTTTCCCTACGGAAAGTTAAAAAAGAGTATGATGAAAACATGTACATGACATCGTGCCTTAAGGCTAATTGCTGGATCTTCTCGTACCGAAAACTAAAATTTTTAAAAAAACCTTGAAATAATCAAATTTTTGAAAATTTTGCGAAAAAATGACTGTTTTAAAAAATTTGATTTTTTATATTTTGATTTTCGTACATTTTTTACACACATACATCAATTTTTTCTGAAGTATAACAAAATCTTCAGAAACCTCTGAAACGTGAAGATTTGCAAAAATTTCAATTAAGATTTTCGGCCATTACACAACTTCCATGCGACAAGTTAATAATTATTGTATATGTGCGAATGTATTTCATTTTAAACGGTATGTGCAATTGTCTAAAACTAAATTACTGAGAATGTCTGAACCGATTTTGATGAAACAAAAAAACATTCGATTTTTGTCACCAGTATGTACTCGAGTTTAGTTTTCACATCTCCTGATCATTTGGGACTACTTAGAAAACGATCATTGCGTATTGTGCCCAGTTTCTATGATGTTTTTTTATAATACTTCTGAACCAGTTTTGAACAAACTTCGATACTTATTACAATTCGTAGCCGATCGTAAGTTTAGTACATTTGACGATATCTTGATGTCCTTT